TGTCCCAGCCCAGGGATTTTGGCTGATTTGGTTCTAGCTCAGGTGTTTGGGTGGATTTGCCCCAGGTATTTTGGTTAATTTTATTCCAGCACAGTATTTTGGTGGCTTTGGTCCCAACCCAGGTATTTTGCTGGATTTTGTCCCAGCCCAGGTATTTTGGTTAATTTTATTCCAGCCCAGGCATTTTGGTTAATTTTGTCCCAACCCAGGTATTTTAGTGGATTTGGCACAGGGATTTTGGTTAATTTTATTTCAGCACAGTATTTTGGTTTATTTTGTCCCAGCTCAGGTATTTTGGTGGCTTTGGTCCCAACCCAGGTATTTTGGCTGATTTTGTCCCGGCCCAGGGATTTTAGTGGATTTGGCCCAGGGATTTTGGTAGATTTTGTCCCAGCCCAGGAATTTTGGTTAATTTTGTCCCAGCCCAGGTATTTTGGTTAATTTTATTCCAGCCCAGGGATTTTGGTTTATTTTGTCCCAGCTCAGGTATTTTGGTGGCTTTGGTCCCAACCCAGGTATTTTGGCTGATTTTGTCCCAGCCCAGGTATTTTAGTGGATTTGGCCCAGGGATTTTGGTTTATTTTGTCCCAGCCCAGGTATTTTGGCGGATTTGGCCCAGGTATTTTGGTTTATTTTGTCCCAACCCAGGTATTTTAGTGGATTTGGTCCTAGCCCAGGTATTTTGGTGGATTTGGCCCAGGTATTTTGGTTTATTTTGTCCCAGCCCAGGTATTTTGGTGGATTTGGCCCAGGTATTTTGGTTTATTTTGTCCCAGCCCAGGTATTTTGGTTTATTTTGTCCCAGCCCAGGTACGTTGGTGGGGTTTGTCCCAGCCCAGGTATTTTAGTGGATTTTGTCCCAGCCCAGGTATTTTGGCTGATTTGGCCCAGGTATTTTGGTTTATTTTGTCCCAGCCCAGGTATTTTGGTGGATTTTATCCCCAAAACACATTTTGTCTGATTGATTTGCTGTGCTTCTCCTTGCAGGTATTTCCTGATAGACCTGGAGGCTCCCCCTTCCCTGGTGTCCCCCATGATGGATCACCTGGGACGGGACATCGATGTCATCAGAAGAGCTTTCATCAAACGCCCCCTGGCCAAGGCTGAGGAGTGCAGTGGCATCCTGCCAGTCAGCCCTGAGCACAAACTCCTCTCTGCCAAGAAAAACTGAAAATCCCAGCTGTTTGAAACCTTTTTTAACCCATTTTTTTATTGCTGCTGTGGAAAAGATTTGTGATAACTCCATCACAAAAATCAAAAAACAATCACTTTTGGCCATGGGATGTGTGTGTGGTCTGACACAGGATCTTCATTACTGTAACAATTGAGGTTTCTTTTTGTTTAGAATAATTGGAATAGTTTTAATCTGGGTGCTTATCTTGCTGTTTGACAACTCTGCAAATTGATTTGCTTTTCTCTCGGAGCATTACATTGATAATGGAGATTTCTCCAGCAGCAGGATGCTATAAATAGCATTTTTTCCAGAGATTACTCCAGAATATGGAGATTTACATGAGAGATTAAGAAGTCTGCAGTGGAAATATAGAAATCTAGGATGTGATTTGCTGTGGGGGTTGTTTGGGAGGAAATCAAAGGCAATAAAAGTGTGATTAAAAGTAAAACCTGACTTTTTTTTTTTTTTTTTAATAAATATAAAAAAATCCCAAAACTTTCACTGCCAAAAGCCACCTCATGGTCCTCAAGGTAAACAATGTTCAAAGCACGGTAAAAATTCCTTTTTAGGTAAGGCCAGAAAATTCCAGGTGGGAATTAGAGACTCCCCAAGCTTTTGTAGGAGCAGGAGAATCAAAGATGCTTCACTTTGCCATCAAGTGGACATTTCAAACTGGGAAAAAACATCAGAATAAAGGGTTCATGTGTCTTTTCTGCCTTTCTTTTGTTGAAAACAGGAGGAAAATCTGTGTTATTATTTTTATATATATAAAGACCTCCTGCTCTGATGTAAATCCAGTGGTTGGATCATTCCTAGGGGGCTTTTGTGCTCTTTTTTTTTTTTTCCTTAGATGTGGAATTTTGGAAAGGAAAAGAAACCAGTTCTTCTGAATATCTTAATTTTTTTTTAAATGCATCAGAAAAAGAATAACATTTTCTTTTTCCCTACATCTTCCTTCAAGAGTTATGAATGTCTGGATTTGTGGGTTTTGTTTGGGTGTATTTCCATAATTTTTTTTAAATTTAAATTTTATTTTCTTTTTTCTTTTCATTCTCTTTTTCTTTTTCTATTTGATTTTTTTCTTTTCTTTTATTTTTTTTTTTTTATCATTGGAGGAACAGAGGGAATACACTCCACACTGCCTGAAGCTGAATCTGGGTGAGAGGCGCTTTTATTTTTGCCTGCTCCAGGCAGAACTTTCCTTTTCCAGGATTTTTCCTTGTGGGACAGACCTGGCTCCCAGCCAGGGATGAGCTCAGCCAGGAGGAGCCCTGGATTTGGGAATCTGAGCCCCAGGTTTGGCTCCTTGGGCTGCCTTCCCTGCTGAAAATTCACATTTTGGGGGTAGAAAGTGCCAGCTGCAACAATGTGGCTTAGCCAGGGGTTTCTCAAAGGTTTTCTTAATCACAAAGTGGACAGAAAGTTTGGGGTTTAAAGGGATTTTGCCTCACACCTGGAATTTGGGCCCTGGATTTGGATTGAGCAGGAAGGGGAATAATTTAAGATTTCAACTCCACTCCATGAAACTCAGCAGAGGCTGCAAACGCCAAAATGTTGCTTCTTTGTCCTTTTTCAGTTTCTTTGGTGTAGTTTTAAATTTTCCAAGTAATTTGTTCCAGTTTCAAGGTTGATCCCCAAATCCCTGGGGCTGGCACAGCCCTGCCAGCCCATGCAGTGCCAGCTGTGCCCACCTTGTGCCCAGCCCAGAGCACTCAGTGCCACCTCCAGGGCACACCTGCAGGGATGGGCACTGCAAAGCTCCCTGGGCAGCCCCTGCCAAGGCCTGGTGTGTCAGTGCCAGTTGTGGGTTTATCTGGGTGTGGATTGAAGGCACTTGGGACAGTAATTCATGTTTGCACTCAGGTCTTTATTATTCGTTATCAGTAAAACAGTCTCACTGCTGTGAGTTCTGCAGCTTTTCATTAGAAGGCACAAAATGGCCAACAATCTCTTGTTCCAAGGTCTTCTAAGACTGAACTATCCAATGAAGAACTGACACCTGGATTATTTTCCCTTTTAACCCAATAACTGATCCCAGAGAGCTGCAATGGGGACTTTTCTGCCCAGTTACAAAATGCCACCCAAACCCATGGAGGAAGAAGCAGCATGAAGAAGAAACCCAGGATAGCACCCTGTGCCCTCCATCTTGCTGCCATCCACAACAGACTAAAAACCCCAAAACCTCAATTTCTCACCAAGTGATGCACCTGCACTGCTCTCTATAATCTATTGCACACTTTTGTGGATTCCAGTCTATGTTGAAGTCTGGGAAATTTCTCCATGGATGAGGGTCAGAGTCAGTGCTGCCC